GGTGATAAGGTTCTCCAGCAGGTCTCGAAGGAGAAGACATCAACAGGTGTGTGGGCAAAAATTTAAGGCATGTACATGACAAAATTATTGGTCAATCTTCTCTACCTAAAGCAAGCTTTATATTCATTTAAGACGAGTGAAGGAAAAACCTTGGGTGAGCAGTTGGATATGTTCAATAAGTTTATTCTTGACCTTGGAAATATCTAGGTCAAGATTGATGATGAAGATCAAGCACTATTGTTGTTGTGTGCTTTACCTAAGTCGCATGCTCCCTTCAAAGAAACTCTCTTGTTTGAACAAATGAAAGGAGAAAAATCCATCTGTTGTTGGTGAAAGATTTCCCGTTAAAAGACAATTCTTGAAGAAAGATGGTATATTTGAGAAGATGAAGGGTAAGGTTCTAAAAAACTCTTATGGTGGTAATACTCTTGCAATTAGGTGTTATCATCGTAAGAATGAGGGTCATACAAGAAATGTGTATTGTGAACGTCTGAATAATCATAGTGGAAGGGATAATGGTAATGCATCTGTTGTACAAGATGGTTATGAATCATCTGATGTTCTGGTGGTTTCAAGAAGCAACTTTAGCAAGGAGTGGATTATGTATTCAGGTTGTACTTGGCACATGAATCCAAAAAAGGAAGTGTCTAAGGAATTATGTGATCAAGATGGTGGATCAGTGCTATTAGGAAATAACAAAACTTACAAGATTGCAGGAACTGGATCTGTCAGATTCAAGCTCCATGATTAGTCAATAAGGCTATTGACTAATGTCAGTTATGTACCTCATCTTAAGAGGAATCTGATTTCTCTTGGTGAATTTGACAAGAAAGGATATTTTTTCAAAGGAGAGCAAAATATCATAAGGGTAATGAAGGGGTCGAAGGAAGTCTTAAGAGGCGTGAAGAAACAAGGCTTGTATACAATTGAGGATGAGCTTGTAAGTGGTTTAGTAGATGTGGCATCTATAAAACCTGTGTCGAAGATTGAGCAGTGGTACAAGCGACTTGGCCATGTCAGTGAAAAAGACCTGGTCGAATTGTCGAAACAAAATCTATTGTGTGGTGACAAGGTCGAAAAATTGGAGTTTTGTGAACCTTGTGTATTTGGTAAATCCTGTAGGGTGAAGTTTAACAAAGGTAAACAAAGAACACATGGATCCCTTGATTATATTCATGTTGATCTTTAGGAGCATGTAAGGAATCCTTAACACTCAGATGCAAAGTATTTCCTATCCATAGTTGATGATTATTCTAGAAAGGTATGTGTATTCATCTAGAAGACTAAGATGAAACTTTTGAAAATTTCAAAAGTTGGAAGATTCTGGTTGAAAACCAAACTGGCGTGAAGGTCAAGAGGTTGAGGACCAACAATGGTCTTGAATTTTGCAATAAGGCTTTTGACAACTATTGTGTTGCGTCTAGTATTGCAAGGGACATAACTACTGCAGGTACTCCCCAACAAAATGGTTTGGTTGAAAAGTTTAATTAAACCGTTCATGAAAGGGTTAGATGCATGTTGATTAGTGCAGGATTCAAGAAGGTGTTTTAGATATAAGTTGTTGCGTCTGCAGCATATCTGATAAATATGTGTCCCTCGACTGCTTCGAGATTGAAGGCACCTGAAGAAGTCTGGTCGGGACATCCACATAATCTCGAATGACTTAGAGTATTTGGTTGTTTAGCCTATGCTCACATTAGGAAAGACAAGGTCAAACCTAGAGCTTTGAGATGTATGTTCCTTGGATGCCAAGAAGGAGTCAAAGCTTATAGGCTGGGGTGCCTAGAGGCAAGTCACAAGAGGTGTATCACAAGTCAATATGTAATTTTCAAAGAATCTGAGATGGGTTTCAAGAAAAATGATGACGTTGGACGAAGTACCTAGATATCTGTAGAGGAGCTGAAACAAGAAGAGATTCTTGTTGAGGTGGAACATAATGATACTGAAGTGCATATCCCAGGTGAATTCGTAGAAGAAGCACAAGGTGTTGATGAAGAAGAGAAGACTGATAATGGATACCAGCTGGCAAGAGACAGTTCGAGAAGATTCATCAAACCACCTTAGAGACATGGTTATGCAGATCTCATAACTTATGCCTTAGTCACTGCAAGTGAGGTTCTTGATGAAGAACCTAAAGACGTAAGGAAGTTATGAGAAGGTGAAACAAGACTAAATGGCTGAAAGCCTCAGATGATGAGATGAAATCTCTTCATGATAATAACACTTTGGAGCTGATCGAAAAACCAACAGAGTCCAACTTAGTCAGCTGTAAGTGGATTTTCAAGGTTAAAAAAGGAATTGAATGAGTGATGTCATAGCGATTTAAGGCAAGGTTGGTTGCTAAGGGGTTCACTAAAAAAGAAGGTGTCGAATTAAATGATGTGTTCTCACTTGTTGTAAAGCATAAATCCATTAGAATATTTTTCCCTATGATGGCAAAGATCGACCTAGAACTTGAACAAATGGATGTCAAGATAGCCTTTTTGTATGGTGATCTAGATGAAACAATCTTGATGAGGCAACCTGAAGAGTATGCAAAAAAGGGAAAGGATGATTATGTATTCAAGTTAGATAGGTCTTTGTATGGCCTAAAATAATATCCTCGACAAAGAAATATGGGATTTGACAAGTTCATGGTACACATAGGTTTCACTATTAGCCAGTTCAACCACTGTGTTTACATCAAACCACCTTAGAGACTTGGTTATGCAGATCTCATAACTTGTGCCTTAGTCTCTGCAAGTGAGGTTCTTGATGAAGAACCTAAAGACGTAAGGAAGTTATGAGGAGTCGAAACAAGACTAAATGGCTGAAAGCCGCAGATGATGAGATGGAATCTCTCCATGATAATAACACTTTGGAGCTGATCGAAAAACCAACAGAGTCCAGGTTAGTCAGCTGTAAGTGGATTTTCAAGGTTAAAAAAGGATTGAATGAGTGATATCAGAGCGATTTAAGGCAATGTTGGTTGCTAAGGGGTTCACTCAAAAAGAAGGTGTCGACTTAAATGATGTGTTCTCACCTGTTGTAAAGCATAGATCCATTAGAATGTTGTTCCCCATGGTGGAAAAGTTCGACCTAGAACTTGAACAAATGGATGTCAAGATAGCCTTTTTGTATGGTGATCTAGATGAAACAATCCTGATGAGGCAACCTGAAGAGTATGCAAAAAAGGGAAAGGAAGATTACGTGTTCAAGTTAGATAGGTATTTGTATGGCCTAAAATAATATCCTCGACAATGAAATATGGGATTCGACAAGTTCATGGTACACATAGGTTTCACTATGAGCCAGTTCGACCATTGTGTTTACTTCAGACTTTGACTTGTAAATTCACTTGTTATTTTGTTGCTTTTGTGGATGACATCTGCATAGCAAGCAACAATGTTAAAGATGTTATGAAGGCGAAGGCTAAAATCGATAAGGAGTTTGACATGAAGGATTTAGGAGCTGCCTCCAGATTCCTTGGGATTGACATATGGAATGACAGAAAGAAGTCGATATTATGCTTATCTTAAGAGACATACCTGGGAAGGCGCATTGAGAAGCATTAAAGTGGATTCTAATGTACATAAATGAGTCTCTGAATAAAGTGCTTATTTATGGTGGACCCGGTGGTAATGATAGAAAAGTCGAAATCGAAGGATTTGTCGTCTCTGATTATGCAAGATGTATGGATTCCAGAAAATATATTTCTGGATATGTGTTCACTATCTTTGACAGGAAAATTAGTTGGAAAATAACTCTTCAAAAGTTTACTGCCTTATCAACCTTTGAGGCGGAATATATTGCCCTCACTAAAACTGTGAATGAAGCATTGTGGCTTGAAGGTTTTGCTAAGGAGATAAAACTTCAAGGTTGAGTTATCATTGTTAAATGTGATAGTAAAAGTGCAATACACCTGTCAAAGAATTCAACCTATCACGAGCAAAACAAGCACATCAATGTGAGGTTGTACTTTGTCAGAGAGATAATCGAGCATAGATAAGTCCAAGTGTTAAATGTTTCTACTGATGACAATGTTGCTGATATGATCACCAAGACATTGTCAAGTAGTAAGTTTTTCTGCTGTATGTAGTTGATACAACTGCATGATGAAAGCTAGTTTGTTCCCTTGTTTATGTAAAGTTTATTCAAAGGTAGAGATTTGTGGTATTTGGGTTGAACTCTAGACTCGACAAGGATAACTTCATGGTTCAATTCGACAAAGGTTTAACATGTAGTCGAAGTCTATTCACATGCTGACCCTGTATGTTGTAGTCGAAGTTTGCTCAAGCATGCAGTAGTCAAAATGCTAGGATGAGAATTGGACCTTGCTTGTAAGTCCAATTGTTAAGTTAGCTTATTAGTTTATAAATAAACTAGTTCTCTCAATTTGTTGAGAGAAGTTATTATTCACTTGTAATCTTTGAACCCTATTGAATAAGTGAATAGTAAATCAGTTTTAACCAATTCCAGTTCTTCTTTTTTCTTCTTCTCTTTCTTTCATAAAATCTAATAGAATTTCTTGTATTTGTTCAAGAAACTCAATCTTTCTCATTTTTTGATTTGTTCTTGACGATGTTGATTCACAACAGTTTCATTTGTTTTTTGATGAAAAACTTGAATAATAGAGAGCGTCGTTTCGTTTAAACCGAGGGAGAAGAGAAAATATATATATATATAAATTTTTTAAGAATAGAGTGCCACTTCACTTGGAATGAGGGAGAAGTAAAAATATTTTGTTTTTTTTTGGAATTGAGCGTAGTTTCATTTTTTATATTTAGTAACTAAAATAAATAAGATGGGCCCACTAGAATATGGGGCCCAATGTTGCATAGCTTGCTGCATCGGTAAATGGTCGGCCCTGTACTTTTCATAAGGAAGAAGATGGTGACGTGGTCACATATATGGATAATAGAAGCAACAACTTTCATGATATTAATACTTTTGTTATTCAATATACTTCACATACTGGATTAGGTGGAAGATATATTATTAGCAACAACTCTAGTATAAGATTAAGTTAACCCATGTGGCTTTCCTTTCCCTTGATCATTCTTATGATTAGAGTCATATTCTTTGTAATCATCCATATCAACTTTCATAAGCTCTCTCCCCTTCATCTTCAAAACAAAAGCCACTTTACATATTTGTTTATTAATAAAATAATTTATTTCCATTATTAACCACACCATTTAGCTAGAATATAAGAAAAATTGAAAATATTTAATTACCTCAGTTCGTTTTATTATCCTCAAGCTGTGGACTGTAGCTACAATTAATAAACAAGGATTAATTAGTTGTCATTTCTTTAATTAATAATTAAAAATACAAGTGAAGAATGTGATTACCTGGATACAACTCAACAAAGAGCAAAAGGAAGATCATTATAGATGTTCTGAGATGAGGTTTCATAAAGTTAAATATTGCCAATTTCAACGAGGCAGAGGGAATAATATATTATGCTTTTATAATATATATGGCTACATATATATAGACATGGCACTAAGAATTAAAGCCTTTTTTTTTTCTTCAACTTTTCTTTTTAAAATGGAATATAAGGTGGCTTAGAATGGAAAAAAGATAGACTTGCATAAATCCAAAAATAAATGTTTAGACCTTGTGCAAGATACATGTATATGGGTAGGATATAGGTATGAGCATTCAAATTCAAATCGATTTAATTAAAAATTGCAAATTGATCTAAATAAATTAAAAATCACAAAAATAATTAAAAAGTTTAAGATGTGTTTGAATTCTTTTTTATTTAACTGTCCATATTAAATTAAAATTTTAGTTGATTTTTCAAAACCTTGAGTCGAACCACATTCATATATTTCAATATTTCAATATTTGTTTATTTATTTTATTAGTATAATATATTATATTATATCAATTTATTATTTTTTTATAATTTTTTTGTTTACATTTTATTAATTTAATTTATCGATTTATTTTTAATACTTCATTTGTTTCATACATAACCTATCATTTGTTAAATATAATTCATTGTGATTTGATATGATTAGATTTGATATCATATGATTAATTTGATATGATATGATTAGATATCATATGATTAGATTTGATATCATATGATTAGATTTGATTTAGAATATATTGGGCATTTTATGTTTTGGGCTAGTGTAAACCTAAAACTATAAATAGGGTGTCTTGCTTTGTATTCTACATCACAACAGAACATATTTCATAGTTGCAGTTAGCAAGTGAAAGTTCAATAAGAAATCCCACAGTTGTGGGTAACACATTCTCTCCAAATACTTCTTCTTTCATTCTTCTCTTTCTTGTTTGTTATTCTTCTTCTCTTTTGTTGTTCTTGATAATTACTTTTTATTACCATCATTATCATATTGTGGGTTTGTTCATCAATCTTGAGATCAAGATTGAAGGGAATTCTTCATAGGGTGTGAGGTGAATTTTCAACATCTGGTATCTAGAGCTCCGGTTAAGAGATTCAAGGAAGGAAGATAGTGATGGCGATGAACTATCCGAACGACAATTTTCCGGCGACCCTGCCAATTCTCAAGAAAGACAATTATGAGAATTGGTGCAAGCAGGTTAAAGTGATTTTCTGTTATCAAGATCTTTGGGATCTTGTGAAGGACGGAGTAACATCGCTGGTGGAGAACGCAACGGAGGCGGAAAAGGCTGCGCACAAAGAATTGAAGAAGAAGGATTATAAAGCACTCTTTATAATTCATCAGTGTGTTGATCCTGATAACTTTGAAAATGTTAGTGATGTTGATTCAGTAAAAGAAGCATGGGAGATTCTTGAAAAGTCGTTTGGAGGCGCAGAGAAGGTGAAAGAGGTGAGGTTACAAACTCACAAGAGAACCTATGAGTTGCTTCAGATGGAAGACAACGAAAGCATTACAGATTTCTTCACCAGAGTTACAAGGTTGGTGAATCAAATCAAAGTATGTGGAGAAACGCTGACGACGAAAGCAGTTGTCTCAAAGATTTTGAGATCGTTGGCTCCAAAATTCGACCACGTGGTAGTTGCCATAGAAGAGTCGAAAGATCTGTCAGTGTTGACGAAGGAAGAGCTTCAAGGGACTCTTGAGTCTCATGAACAGAGGATGACTGATAGAGCTGCAGGAAAGTCGAAAGATATGGCTTTGCAGGCACAGACGGAAAAGTAGAGAAAAGGCAAAGGTAGTTGGAATGGCAACAAAGGAGGAAACCAGTTGAATCAAAAGAAACCTTGGAACCAAGGCAACCAAAGAGGTGGTGCTGTAGGTAAAGGAAGAGGTGGTGATCGAAAGACAGACAAAAGCCACATTCAATGTTTCAATTGCCATAAGTATGGTCATTATGTTAGTGATTGTCCAGAAAAGAAGAGAAATCAAGAGACTGATGCAAAGCTGGCGAAACATGAAGAAGAAGAAACATTGCTAATGGTCACAACAAACGATGAAGAAAGATTCCAAGATCAGTGGTACTTGGACTCATGATGCTCATCACACATGACTGGAAGGAAAGATTGGGTTGTCAACATGAAGCCCTCGTCGAAGAATACGGTGAAGTTTGCAAATGACAACACTCTAGCAACTGAAGGTGTTGGTGATATTCTGATTATGAGGAAAGATGGCAAAAGGTCAACAATTTCCAATGTGTTGTACATACCAGGCATGAAGAGTAATTTGCTCAGTATAGGGCAGCTTGTCGAAAAGAACTACAAGGTAGTTGTCGAAGACAAGATGATGAGAGTCCTCAACGCAGGTGGTAGACTAATCTTGAAGGCTCCAATGTCTCAGAATAGGACCTTCAAGATTGGACTCAATGTGATGGAGCACAAGTGTTTAGAAACTGCAGCCACTGAAGTCGAAATAGAAGTTCGACAGGAACCAGTTGCAGATGAAGCAGGTTCAAGCAGACCTCGACGAACTAGACACATGCCTGCAAGGTTGCAAGAATGTGTAATCACATCAGATGATGTAGTCGATGAAGAGGGTGAGCTGGTACGTTATGCTTTCTACACAGATGTCGAACCAGTCAATGCAGCTGAGGCATTGAAAGATTCGAAGTGGGTGAAAGCAATGATTGAAGAGTTAAAGTCCATCAAAGTCAATGATACCTGGTCACTTGTCGAATTGCCGCAAGGCAAGAAGGAAATTGATGTGAGGTGGGTTTACAAGGTGAAGGTAAATCCTAAAGGAGAAGTAACTCGACACAAAGCGAGACTTGTGGCGAAAGGATTTCTTCAGAAGGAAGGAATCGACTTTGATGAAGTATTCGCACCTGTTGCTAGAATCGAAACAATCAGGTTGGTTGTTGGTCTAGCAAATATGAACAACTGACACACATGTCAGATGGACGTGAAGTGTGCATTCCTTAATGGCCCCTTAGGAGAAGAAGTTTATGTTGCACAACCAGCTGGGTTTGTGAAACAAGGCGAAGAAAGAAAGGTGTACAGGCTTCATAAAGCCCTGTATGGACTTAAGCAAGCTCCAAGAGCTTGGAATAATAAAATTGACAGCTTCTTAAGGGAGAAGGAATTTGTGAAGTGTACAACTGAGCATGGAGTATATGTAAGAAGAAGCAATGGCGAATTGCTTATACTATGTCTCTATGCTGATGATTTGTTGATAACAGGGAGTTCCAAGAAGGAGATCGAAGATTTCAAACATGACCTGAGTAAGGAGTTTGAAATGTCAGACTTGGGAAATCTCTCATATTTCCTTGGCATCGAATTCTACAAGACAAGTAGAGGTTTGATGATGCACCAAATAAGATATGCAGGCGAGATACTCAAGAGATTTGAGATGCAAGATTGCAACCAAACTTCGACTCCAGCTGAGCCCAGATTGCAACTGTCAAAGGATTCAGATAAAGATGATGTCGATCCAACCCAATACAGAAGAGTTATTGGGTCACTTAGATATCTTTGCCACACAAGGCCTGACTTAGCATACAGTGTTGGTATGATAAGTAGATTCATGCAGAAACCAAAGGTATCACACCTAGCAACGGCGAAGAGGATACTGAGGTATCTGAAAGGAACTCTCGACTATGGCATTTTATTTCCAGCAGCTGATGAAGGAAAAGAATGCAAGTTAGTGGGATACACAGACTCCAGTTGGTGTAGTGATGCTGAGGATCGAAAATCCACAGCTGGGTATGTGTTTATGTTAGGTGGTGCACCCGTTACTTGGAATTCGAGAAAGGAATCAGTAGTGGCATTGTCATCATGCGAAGCAGAATATATAAATGCTTCTCTTTGTGCATGTCAAGCAACTTGGATGGTGAACTTGGTCGAAGAAATCACAGGGAAGAACCATGGAGCAATTACCATGAAGATAGACAGCATGTCAGCTATCAACTTGGCAAAGAATCCAATAGCTCATGGTCGAAGCAAGCACATTGAAATGAGGTTCCATTATCTCCGAGAGCGGGTAGCAGAAGGGAAGATGAAGTTGGAACACTGCAGAACTGAGAATCAGATTGCAGACATCATGACGAAAGGAGTGCAGGTCGAAGCCTTCAGAAGACTAAGAGCCATGATGAATGTAGACAGTTTAGACACAATGAATTAGGTGGTGTGTTAAATATAATTCATTGTGATTTGATATGATTAGATTTGATATCATATGATTAATTTGATATGATTAGATTTGATATCATATGATTAGATTTGATATCATATGATTAGATTTGATTTAGAATATTTTGGGCCTTTTATGTTTTGGGCTAGTGTAAACCTAAAACTATAAATAGGGTGCCTTGCTTTGTATTCTATACCACAACAGAACAGATTTCACAGTTGCAGTTAGCAAGTGAAAGTTCAATAAGAAATCCCACAGTTGTGGGTAACACATTTTCTCCAAATACTTCTTCTCTCATTCTTCTCTTTCTTGTTTGTTATTCTTCTTCTCTTTTGTTGTTCTTGATAATTACATGTTATTACCATCATTATCATATTGTGGGTTTGTTCATCAATCTTGAGATCAAGATTGAAGAGAATTCTTCATAGGGTGTGAGGTGAATTTCCAACATCATTCTCATTTTATAATTTTAATTTATTATATATTATATGTTGTATATTATTTCAAACATTATTTTATAATACTTCAATAATATTAATATTAATAAAAAATTATAATTTGTAATATGAATAAAATTATAAAATTGAACATGATCAGAAGAAATTTTTTAAACTAATCATTCAAAATAAAACTAAACCACAAATAAATTTACCTTTAAATTGAATGATTTTTTTTCTTCAAAATCAACCCAACTCGTATCATAAATACTCTTAAATATGGAATTTATATTCAACTAAAACGAAGGTAAATAAGGATAATGTGATGCTTTCCTCCCTTCTTTTTTTAAATCTTGTCTTTTTAAATTTATTGAATAATTATATATTTATATATAGATCAAACATATATATC